TATAGTCAAAAAAAATCTGATAATAACTATAATAATAATAATAATAATAATAATAATAATAGACGTGAAAATAGCAACGAAATAAAAAAGCGTCAAGAAGATACAAATAATAATGGATTATATCAGAATGCTTACAGTTTTCCTTTTGGTTATGATGTGGCAAATTTTTTTTCTAATAATTCGATTGACGCTAATTCCGATATATCGTCAGGAAGTGCTTCCTCCCCCGATACAACAGATTTAACCTTATCGCCAACTTCTGAATTAGCACCATATCATATTGAATTATCTTTAGAATGTCCTTTTACAAGTTGTCAAATTAAAGATAAATCCAAAGTGAAAATAACTGATAGTACATACCTCATAGAACATTTAAAGGAAGAACATTCAATTCGCTTTGTTAATTTACATCATGTTTATTTGACTATTGAAAAATATTTGGGATTTTGGGCAAAACAACTCGATCAAGATATTATAAAGCAATTAGATGCTGAAGTTAATGAAGGTAAATTATCATTATTATCATCTTTTCTTTTCTTTTTTTCTTTTTTTTTTTATACACTTTATTTTAAAAATCTTTTTTATTTATTTTATTTATTTTATTTATTTATGTATTTAGGTCATTTAATACGTGTTATTGACCCAATGAAACTTCCTCTAGATAAAAATATCCGAGAAGAACTTCAGCGCGATAAATTGGTGATTTTTATAATAATTCTTTATTACGATTATTATTTGATATTATTTTTTGCTAAATTCTTTGAAAATAAGTAGAACGAAGTTTTACAAATTCAAGCAAATGAACGAAATGGTGATTCGAAATTACAAAAAAAATGTTTATTCTGTAATAATATATGTGAAAATAGGTAATTATTTGATTAGATTGATTCTAATTTAATTTAATTTGATTTAATTTGATTTAAATTAAATTAATTTGATTTTTATTATTTTATCAAAGACGGATACTATTTCGTCATATGTTTGATGAACATAATTTTAATATTGGTCTTCCTGACAATTTAGTAAATGTTAGTGAGTTTTTGCAAATTCTTGAAGATAAATTAAATAGGTAAATATCAATTTTTGTAATCTTGTAATATTATCACTATCATATGAAAATTATTAATTAATAATTATTAAAATAATTTATTTATTTATTAAAAGCCTTCAATGTTTATATTGCGAAAAAACTTTTACAACTCCTGCGATATTAAGAAAACATATGCGAAAGAAAAAACATTTCAAAATTAGTGCTAGGAATAGAATTTATGACCAGTTTTATGTTATCAATCATCTGGTGAGTGATGAAATTATTAATTATTTTAAAATTATAAAATATATGTGAGATAATTAATTAATTAATAAATATTTATATAAACAAACAAACAAAAAGGAACCTGGGAAAAATTGGGAGACATTTGAAAATGAACGTTATGAGTCTGATGAGGACTATCATAATCGAGATGAGTATGTACATCATCTTATATATTCATGAGAAATCAATTATAATTATTAATCGCTCTCTATAACGTACAATCGACTTTATAAAGTCCTTGGGATGATTGGAATGAAGAAGAATCATTACCAACTTCGTGTCTCTTTTGTGAAAATATTTCACCAAGTACTAAAGACATAGAAAATCATATGACAAATACTCACGGGTTTAATCTTTTAGCGATTAAACGATCAATGGGTGGTTAACTATAATAATATAATTTATTATTATTATTATTATTATTATTAATTTTTTATTATATTTTATATTTAAAAAATTTAATAGACCCATTTGTTT